AACAGCCCCCACTCACGTGTCGCGGGGTCAGGAGCAGGGAATTTTTTAATTTTTAGCAGTGAGCAACCACAGGCTGCTTACTGTTTAATAGACACGCCCCTACTCGCGGTATAGCGAGTAGGGGCATAATTTACTAATACTAAGTAACCAGCTTCTATAGAGGCTGGGTCACTTGCTGCACTGGCCAATCACAGCCATGCCATTAGTAGGCATAGCTGTGATGGCTTCTAAGGGCACACGAGTCAAACGCTTGTTGATTGGCTGCCCTGCAGCCTTTCAAAACATGTCATTAAATCGCCGAACTCCGAGCTCCAACCCAAACATACAGTGATATGTCCGTGTTCAGGGCTGGGGTCCAAAAAACGTAATGTTCGGTACGAAACCGAACTTTTCAGTTCGGGTTCGCTCAACTCTAATTGGGACCAAGGCAGAGCATCCCCCAGACAGCTATCTATGATGGCATTATAGTAGGGTTGCGATATCCGTCATGTTTTCTGGGACAAACATAATTTTATCATGTTGACAGGCAGCATCTGAAAATATTGCTCTGTGTCATGAATAATGTACAGTTGCAAGAATGTTTACATGGTGTGTTCAATAAAAACATGGCAACATTTCATTCGTTGAGTGTTAGTTTAAGCAGACTTTGATTGTCTATTGTTGTGACTTAGATGATGATCAGGTCACATTTTATGACCAATTTGTGCAGAAATCCCATATCATTCCAAAGGGTTCACATACTTTTTCTTGCAACTGTATATGTTGCCATATACCTATGTATGCTTATTATCTGAAGCATTTGACTTTGTCACTGTAGTTTACCCCAACACGCAAAATTTGGTCCAACAATTGACAATATAAAGCAGATATGTCTTACCGGACCTTAGAATGGCCGGATTCGACGTAGAACAGAGAATAGACAGAGTCAGGAATGAGCCGAGGTCAAGGGGACAAAGAGACAGTGAAAACAAGAACTAGCCAAGGTCTGGTACACAGGAATCAGTAAGCCGGCAAACAAGACAAAACAGAGATAAAGAGAAAAACGGAGTCAAATACAAAGCCAAGGTCAAGCATGGAAAATCACAACTGAACACAACAAGCGCTAAAGGGAACTGAAACAGAAACCATGATAGGGCAGGGAGTTAAGGGAGAGTTAAGTATAAATACCCTAGTATTTAATTTGATTGGCCCCTGTCATATCCACGCCCCCAAAATGTGAGTGTATGGGGAATGTGGGATGACAGGGGCCAATGGGAGACCGTTTTACATTTTGGCTCCCACTGTCCCTTTAAGAGCGTGCCCGGGATGTGCGGCGCACTCTTAGAGCTAGGCGGGACATGTGACTGCATCTCGCGGTCAGTGCCCGCCTTCGTCTGAACTGCGCGTGTAGGACCTTCCGCGGCGGGAATAGAGGACCTCAGCCAGCCCCCGGATAAGGTAAGTACCGCTACAGACTTCTACTTACTTTAGGGCAACTTTCTGTATTTTGCCTATGAATTTGTATAAATGATTTGTGTCTCTGAAAACATGGTGGATATGGTATACCTGATTATAAGGGACATTAAATAATTATAATTTAAGTTTCACCAACTTGTTTACTCTGCGTCACTGATGCCTCTCAACATTCTAACAGCAAATCTACACTAGAAACTCTATATAAAGGTTATTTTTAAACATACTGAAATGTAGATATTTTGAGAGTTTGCAGTCGTTAACTTGTTTTTCTTGCTGTTAATACCTAACACAAATTTGAGTGAGATAGTGACTGCATTTATTGGAGTGGAAACCAAGTGTTACATAGAAACATAGAATGTGACGGCAGATAAGAACCATTCAGCCCATCTAGTCTGCCCAATTTTCTAAATACTTTCATTAGTCCCTGGCCTTATCTTATAGTTAGGATAGCCGTATGTCTATCCCACGCATGCTTAAACTCCTTTACTGTGTTAACCTCTACCACTTCAGCTGGAAGGCTACTACTTTGTGTTACTTAGAATTTATTTTCTTTAACTATGGGAAGCAATAAAAATGTTAGCAGCTGTTAATTACCAATTGTTAAAGATTTTAAGAATTGCTTGATATTTATTCATATATTTAACTATATACTTGTATTGCTATTTAGCTAAACTAGCATAATCTGTATCCTTTTGTTTAAGAATGGAGCCTTGGTTTATTTTTATGGCAATATGTTTTACATTTTATTATGTTTAGTGTTAACAGAGTTATTCATTACACTAAATGATTTAGCTACATTGGCCTAAAATTTCAAATTCAAACCAATACAGCTATAATTTACTTTGTGGATTTTTGTGTTATTACATAATTCATACAGAAATATTTTTTTATGTTTTCTTTTTATACCTCATTTTATATCACGCACTAAGCTCTTATCAGAGTTTAATTTGGTTATTTAGAGTTATATGATGCTTTGTTATGGACAGTAAAATGTTATTAAGTGCTTTAAGCTCCCTTCTAAAATACATGAGATACATGGATTCAAAGTATTTTTTAGATTAAGATTGGTTTTATTGTGTTTATTTTATTTGATTTATAGAGGTTTTAAAATGTATAGAGTTTTACTCATTTTTTATTACAAGCTAATTTTAACCTTGAAATGAACATAAACATTTGTGTATGTTTTATTAGTGTGGATAAGTGGATTGGAACCCATTAGAGGTATTAAGGTAATTGTAACACTAGTTAATTGACACTGACAACAGGAAATTTAAATAAAGAAAAGAGTAGCAAAACCAATATTAGATAAAACCTGTATGGGCGAAACCAGATCCTAGGACTTTAGGCTGCCTGTGTCAAAGATAGGAATGACATCCCCACTGTGTCCACTCACCCATTGATTATAATTTAATGCAAACTGTTCTGACAGCCACTTATGACATAAACATGACAATCTCTCACAGACACATGTATGAAAGACTGTCTGAGTATGTATAGTAATGTCATAAGTGGCTTTGAATATGAAATGTTATATCGTTTGTGCAATATATGTGCATTTGAGGGTGTCTGTATGTATAAAATAATTGAATGCATGCAAATGCAATAACATGTATTGTTTGTGCAGTGTCACTGCATAGCTGTGTTTATGTATGTACACAATGTTAGTTTGTGTGTATGTTGGTGTTATTGTGTATGCAGAATCAATATTTATGCACGTTGATATTCCAATGTTGATAGGATAATACAGCAATGTCATTATGTGTACATAGGTATTTTTTTGTGTGTGTGTGTGTACTTGTATGTATGGAATGTAATGTAATGGATGTCTTAATGTGAATATATTTCCAAACCAGAACCAGCTGATGAGACCCACAAGGTCGAAACTGCTGTCCATGGCTAGTTTCTGGCCACTGATCCTTTTGGACTACAGCCCATGCTTTGGTTTAAAAATAAATAAATCTATGTTTGTTTGTAAGGGTATCTGTCAAAATGCAATGTGAAGACTGAAACACAATCCCCGTCTGTACTCATTTAGATGTCAAGCTGGGAACTCTAAAATAGTTACAGAAACATGATTTTTGATTTTCTATGCCCAAGAAAAACCCCTCATAGTCCAACATGAGATGTGCAGGTGATGGATAACAGTAATTTATTTGTATGCATATATTATTATATACGTGTGTGTAGTGTGTGTGCGTCTGCATATGTGCAATGCCTTGTCAAATGTCAAATAATGTGCAATTTCCATGATGATCAGCCAGTTTTATCACACAATACATGTGCTTTGTATCTGAAATTTTCATTATGCTCATTATACTATACCGACTAACTAGCATTGCAGGGACAGTAGTTCACAATTATCTTTAAAGGCACTCACTAGGTGACCATGATACCCACACAGACTTAAGGGTTGGCCAGGCATTGTGGGCATTGCATATCACATATATTTTAAATAACCTCCTAACTGAGTTTTGCGGACAGCATTTCTTCCCCTATTTTCCTTCTCTCCTTCACCTTTCCTCCCACCTATCCTCTCTTTCATCTATGCATCACATTTATAGCTCTTCTACTCTCCATTTATGGGTTCCATCCATAATTTATAACTAATTCAAAAAAAGTCACTCTAATAATTTTTCCAATTGGTGACATTGTCTACAGATGCAGGTTTGAATCCTATGTGTTATGATTTGTTTCACTGTGTTCCTTCACCCCCCAATGCAGTTCATATTGCTATTACTGACAGTATCATACTTTTGTAGTATGGCAGAGCTTACAGAACTTTCCCTCTGTGTCTTCTGCTCATGTTCAACATACACACATCCCATTGACTCACGGCAGTCAGTAAAGTCATCTTCCCACCACTGTTTCACTGCCAACAGTCATGCATGTTGTAGTAGTGCATGAGGCACCTGACTGCTTGGCCATGCTACTAAAGATGCTGAGCAGGGCACCAGAGCTAGAGGGTATGGATGGGCAACAATATAGGCCAATTACAATCAAAGCTATAGTCAGCTTTGATCATAACAGAGGAACTAGAGAGAATGTAAGACCTTCTCTACCTATTACAATACTTCGAGAAGCAGTAACCAGGACAGGATTGTTGAAGGACCCCATGACACGGGAGCATGATAGTTCAGTTCTAATGAATCCAAACTGATCTATCTAAATGGTAATTCATTTTATACTATGATCCCTATTTTCTGCTGTTTCATCATTTATATGGCTAATATTTTAATCTGAAATATGTAACATCCACTAATGCAAAGCAACAAGATCACAACTTGGTCATTTGAATTCTCTCATTTTAAGCATTAATTGTGAGCAAATGAAGTGGCTCAGCACAGTGTGAGTGGGCATTCATACATGTTCCTTTTTGCTGTATATTTGTTCTAACGTAACAATCTTGCACTAGGAAAGAAAGAAAGAACGTTTGCATTGTGTGTGCCTTCTAGAAGGCACATGAAAAGGAAAGAAATGTCAATGTACTCTTTCTAGTAAAACACTAAATTGAATAATGAAAATGTAATAACTACAACAGCAACATATTGTGAAGCAAATGCATACATTGCAGTTTATTGACCAAACTGAAGGAACACAAAACAACAGAACCTGGAAATTAGAAAGCAGTAATACATATTTTGTAAGAATATGACACTATATATTTTTGCAAGCACGTAGTTTAGCATTTTGAGGGATAAGGGACACTATTTAGTGTTAAACCCTTAAAGTATCAATGTATATATAGTTATATATTGAGTATATATAATCCTTGTATAAGTTATGCATATACCTTTTGGTTTAATGGACCAATTTTCTATCTACATTAGTATGCTTGATAGTATGTTTCTGCTAATTATATCTACTAGTATCAGGAAATAGAGTTTTGAGGAAAAGTTAAAAGTACCCACTCAACCTTAAACATAGAGTTTAACATATGAATAACTATGGCTAGCCTAGATTACTGCTCATATACTGACAGCTTCCGCAATCACTTGTATTATATATCTCAAACACATGTTTACATTAAACATTTATCTACCATTTAAAACATTCATAAAAAAACATGCATATACTTTAAAACATGTTTAATCATCTTACATGTGCAAAACTCCTCAATTTGTTTTAATTATATTGGGGATTTTAATCCTGGTAGAATAAAAAAAACACAGCTTTGAGATGATTCCACAAAATTAAGGGGTTTTTCACTAAAGTGAGAATTCATTGTGAATTTCACATTTCAATTTCAAATTTAAGGTCAAAACACCTTCCAGCTCAGCTACTTTGCTTTTAAATTTGAAATTCACTTTAAATTGTCACTATAGTGACTACCCCTGTGTGTCTGAAAATTGTACTCTACTGTGGATTTTCAATTTAGAATCTCAATATGCATTTATTAAAAAAGACAAGATCATCACTACTATGTATTGAAGCTGTCAATATAAAACAAAATCTGTTGTTAACCATTAATTCTTCGGTCAGCTTTTACATCATTTTTGAAAATGAATTTTTCGTTTAGGAACATGAGCTGCTTCCAGAGGTGTATCGAGCCCAGAGCAACTATAATTGCCTCTGGATGTGTGACCAGCTGAAGTACTGAAACCACTTCCACTGCTTAACTTGGTTCCACCTGTGCTGCTGCATATCCCACCATCAAGGTAGGTGCCACCTCCAATTGATCCTCCAGTACAGTATGAGCCACCACCTCCTATGGATCCACCGCTACTGTATGTTCCTCCACAAGTTGAAGTTACAACAGCTAACAAAAAATAAAGTCAAAGATTTAATATTCAATGAATTTAAACACATACTGCATTTTCAACATTAGTGTGAACTATTTTAGTCCTATAAATATCATCTTACTTACAGATCTTAACTGAATCTGATCCTTCTCCAGTGAGCCTAAAAATAAAATGACAGACTTTATTTTGTTATTAAAAATTTATCAAGCACGTTTTAACTAATTTACTTGTTGGTGTGTGTTATTTTTTTCAGCAGTACTGAATTTTCTCAAGTACACAAGGCTCATAATAAAGATAAAATCTCCATATCATTGGTAAGTGATAGAATAAAATGGATGCAATAATAAGCCAACATCTCTAGGCTATAACAGGGAAAGATATTATCATACAGTGGTATATCTAGCCGAACTGAAGTCTGGATGACAATACTTAGCAAAAAATAGCCAAGAGTTGAGTTGATTAATTTTTCAAAGTACGTTATTGTTGCCTACATTTTGTTGCCTACATATTTTCATATTTTAATTTGCCACAGTTTGGAGTTTAATAAATAAACCCCACAGTACTAGTTTTAAATACAATAGCCATCAAATTCAACAACTCCAATGGACCTCTGATACCTTCAGATTGTACTAATTATAACATACACTTTTCATCTTTTTAGTATATTTAAAAAATCAAAGCATAGAGGTAATTTAAAACATAATATATTCATGATTTCCCCCCCCCCCACTGACGTTAATGTATTCTAATAATATATTTTCATTGCAAATTCTACTTTGTGCAAACCTGCACTCCTCTCCTTCCAGGAGTTTCCTGTAGGTGGCGATCTCGATATCCAGAGCCAATTTCACATTCATCAGCTCCTGGTATTCTCGCAGTTGGCAAGCCATGTCCTGCTTGGCTTTCTGCAGGGCATCCTCCAATTCAGAAAGTTTGTTCTTTGCATCTTTGACAGCCATTTCCCCACGATCCTCTGCTTCTGAAATTGCAGCTTCAAGTTTGTTGCGCTAAAATAATTTTAAACAAGAGGAGTGGACGGTGTGTAAACCAAATGGTATTACATTTCCATTATGCTTTCATTTTAACCATAATAAAATCTTTAAAAAAAAAAAGCTAATTCTAAAATATTCTAAATATTTCAAAAATATAAACTATAGAATTACTTTAAATATGTTTTGCTTTAAGATACTTTCATTTCATCTTAATTGTATCCGCATTCATTGTTGTGTTGCTGATCCAGTAATGAATGCTTTCATTCACTGTTGGTTTATGTACTGGCACTACCCTGAAATCATGGCACTAATACCAGTCTGCAACAAAGCTAGATTAATCATGTTTCAAGATACTAAAAGGAAAGATTAAAATGTCCGGTGCCAGGATGTTTCCATATCTCATTTTGCTCTAAAAGGATTACAAATGGATTTTATAAACTGGATAGAAGTAACTCTCTATTTAATTCTTAAGTTTGTAGAATATTATGTGTTCAGAATTAATCATATATTTGTTGTGCATTTCTTCTATCCATATTATATTATTTTTTTATTAATTTATAGAATTAAAATACTGTTTTTGTTTTCTGATAATTCCTTCTTGACTAATTAAAGGGAAAATGATATAAATATATTCAATCAATATGTGAATTGATATTATTCCAATATAACTGTAATGGCAAAAGTTTACTTACGTGCAAGAAACATATTAAATTTTAGTATAATAAACAGTGGTCATAAGTCAAATTATAACACTGTCACATGCCAGACTGTAAATAATTTGTGACATAACTTTTTCTCCACTTCTCCTAATGATCTCTTTAAATATTGTGACTTTACCTGTGCTCTGGCATTTTCGATCTCCCCCTTCAATCTATTAATGAGTCGGTTCATATCAGCAATTTCATTTTTGGTGCATCTTAAATCTTCTCCATGTTTGCCTGCAGTTACCTTTAACTCCTCGTACTGTAGGGAATTGAATATATTAATGCAGGAAAGTTTTTATGTTCCACAGTAGAGATACAACCAAGACAGTTACTATGGAGGTTTAAAAAACATTTGTTTGACTAAACATATTTTGCAGATTTCATATACTCAAAAATATAAAGACCAGCAAGTGCTGTATGATTTTTATTATTTATCTAAGGACAAGCATGGCCTTTTCTTGCTACCAATCTCCATAATTTTCAGAAATGCTCTCCCTAACACCTCTGCAACTTAATCAATTATATAAATGCCCAATATGTTTGTTTTTCTTATGCCAGTGATGGCCAATGGTTGATTCTAAGCTAGTATTTTACTTAAACTGCCATGATGCTTTGCCAGTGTTCATTGGAGGGAAGGGCTTCTTCGACAAGAAAACACAAACTGTGTATACGTGCTCGACATTTTTTAAAAGCATCTGCAGAGTTGATGGGTGCTTGCTTGAACACTTACATGTTATGATTTGTGACCCACCATTTGTAAAAGAGAAAGATATAACTAAATGTAGTTTTCCATGAGCTGTGTATTGATTGTTTGAGAGAAATGTGTTCTAATTGAAGGTAATAAGACCTACTTTTGATTGATACCAGCACTCAGCTTCAGCTCTGCTCTTCTTAGCAATGTCTTCATACTCAGCTTTAACGTCAGCAATGATTCCATCCAGATTCAGATCTCGGTTGTTATCCATGGTCACAGTCACTGAAGTATCTGAGATCTGAGACTGCAGCTGGCATATTTCCTGCAAAAACACAAGCCATATCACTTTTATTACTTTTTACCACTAGATCCAAAATCCTGAAAGAAGTGTCTGTTTAAAGGACCACTATAGGCACCCAGACCACTTCCGCTTAATGAAGTGGTCTGGGTGCCTGGTCCAGCTAGGGTTAACCCTTTATTCTATAAACATAGCAGTTTCAGAGAAACTGCTATGTTTATATTTGGGTTAATCCAGCCTCTAGTGGCTGTCTCAGCGCTGGAAAAAGAGGTAAATTTAACCCCTTCCTCTCCATCCAGCCCGGCGGAAGGGGGTCCCTGAGGGTGGGGGCACCCTCAGGGCACTATAGTGCCAGGAAAACGAGTATGTTTTCCTGGCACTATAGTGCTCCTTTAATAATTTTAACGTTTTCATTTTTTAAGTATCATATTTAACCCCTTAAGGACACATGACATGTGTGACATGTCATAATCCCCTTTTATTCCAGAAGTTTGGTCCTTAAGGGGTTAAAGACTGTCTGTGAGATTCTAAAAGTGCTATGTTCTAAACCAAGTTCTAAAGTACTAAAACTAAGACAATTACTACATAAACCAGTGCATCCGGCAGGCACATTCTATGGCCTGCTACTCAATGTTTACATTTTTGCACCACGTTTTAGAACAGGGCACTTTAACAAATTTCCCGATGCTTTTTCATTAGGCAAAAACTGAAAAAAAGTCAATGTATTTTACTCTAGGCTCCAAAGGCTACACACCATAGATTGTTCTAGAAGCAAACGTTGGTAGTCAAATAACCAGATTGGCTGAAAAATTTAATCAAAGATATGGTTCTGAAAATGCCCTAGAACATTTTATGTTCATCTTTTGAATTTACTTATTGTAAGAAATGCTAGACACACCACACCATTTATAATTTAATAGCATGTTTTGTACATAATAAAAGTAAACAAAAAAGTGTATGTCATCTTTTGGCAAATAAAATGGTTTCTCATACACAATTTAAATGATGAGTTAGTACCCTACTTTGCCATGACTACAGGTTACTATATTTCCTCTAGAAAAAAAAAATATTTAGTATTTATTCATATTTACAAGTAAATATTTAAACATAGGGGAAAAAATGTATATATTTTTACCATTTCATATAGAGACCGCAAGAAGGCAATTTCATCACTCAAACAGTCCACCTTTGACTGTAATTCAGTTTTCTTGAGAAAAGCAGCATCAACGTCCTGTAAATCAATTTGGAGAGAAAAAAAAATTAATATCAAGAAAACATTCAATTTGATTTTAGAATTTCTTGTTCATATTCTTGTTCATTCTTCCTAAATACCTTTTTAAGTGCTACAAATTCATTTTCAGCAGCTGTCCGCTTATGGATTTCCTCTTCATACCTGTTGAATTAATTTAAGAACTCTGTATTCTTTGTTTTTTTCACAATGTTTAGTGCACACTAATGTTAACAAATAATTATTAATGATTAATTAATAAGTAATATTAAGTCATGGTAAAGAATATGCATACTTTCTCTTGAATTCATCTACAAAATCCTCCATAGTTTTCCTTTCTCCTTCTAGTCGAGCTTTCTCAGATCCTAAGAAATCGAGCTGTCTTCGGAGGTTGCACAAATATGCTTCAAATAGCGGCTCAAAATTAAATTTGGCTGTTTTTTGCTCTTGCAGAAAACACCACTTCGTCTCAAGAATCTTATTCTGTTGCTCCAAAAATCGTACCTAGAACAACAATCACATTGACACATGCATCCATATTAACATATCTTTGTTTGAATTATTACTACTTTGTTGTTATTTTTTCTTAAAATAAGCTAATTGTTTAATTTATATTATACAAAATACTATGTTTTTGTTATAAATATCAAGAGAAATTAAACATTATATAAAACACAATACTTTTACTAGTAGTTGAAATATAGTACTGCTTAAATTACTCAATCTAAGGAGGACGTAAGAAATGTGTTCATCCTCAACTCAAGTGTGAGTATATCTACTATATCTTACCTTGTCAATAAATGATGCAAATTTGTTATTTAGAGTCTTGATTTGTTCTTTCTCTTCTTTTTTAAGTCTCTGGACGTCTGGGTCAACATCTAATTTGAGCGGTGTTAGAAGGCTTTGGTTTACAGTTACTGGTGTAATGGATCCATGAGCAAATGCTCCACCAGGTCCAAAGCCAGCAAAACCAAGGCTAAATCCAGCACCCGACCCAATACCGGACCCAAAACCACAGCCAGAACTGGAACCACCATAACCATATCCACTCATTCCAGCTTGACAACTACCAAATGACATCCTTTGAGCTCCTCCAACACCGACATTGTAGGCACTTCTGCTGCTGAAATTTGGTAACAGTTGAGCACCACAACTGCCCCCTCTTCTTGAAGAGACAGAGCTGACGCTGTATCTGCTCACATTCTTGGGTAAACAGGCTGAGGATGAGCTAAAATTTCTGTATCCACAGCTGCTACGAATGGAGTGGTGTGGCATTGTGTTTGGTGACAAGTGGGGTTATGATGAAGCCAACTGTAGCTCAAATGTAGACCTTCTGGAACACTTTCAGCTTCCCCTTATATATTTTAAGATAAGGTGTGTCGATTTTATTGAATAAAAAGAGACCCTATCATTGCTTTTTATTAGTTTCAAATGCTGGCACTGCAGTGCCAAACACCGAAACAGCAACACACCTACAACAATATTAAAGTTAGTAAGTGTTTAAAGATGGCTATTTTCATATCTATAAAAACTAAAATTGTATGCTAGGTTATGAGGAAGAAATAAAATCACAATTTGAAAATTTCATCATTCTACTTGTCATAAATGTTGACAGGTGCTGGATCTCAGAATTACCTTCTCTCGGAATTTTGCACCCTGTAATTAAACACCTTCTATAAACATTTTTTATTTACGTGCTCTTTTGCAAATTAATTTGATAGCCTAGACTCTGTTGTAGAAATTATTTTACTGTGTGATGCAGGTTTTCCATTAAAACCAAATCACTACTCTCAATGTAAAAGTAGCCACATGCATGTTACAGAATAAAACATATGTAGAACATGCAAATCAAGGAAAGGTTTGATGTTATCATTTTTACAAAATGACTCTGAGCTTTCTGTATTACTTATAGTAAAAAAGTACTTTGAAGTACTTTGAAGAGCACCTGACAACCACTAAAATGTGAGACATCTTACCTATTTTCAGATAGGTTCCATACAGGGCCGGCACAACCATAAGGTGGCGCAGGTGGCTGCCTTAGGGCGCACCGTCATGTGGGACGATCTCTTACATACAGGAGCAGCTGGAGAGTTAAGATGGTGCTGGCTGGTCCCCGTCTACATTATACAGGTAGCCGGGGCCCGCAGGTGAACATATAGATAGCGATAATCGCTATCTATATGTGCACAAATGGAATGTGGGGCCTGGGACTCCCAGAGCAGTCCAGGCCCCCCAGGCCCCCCAGGACAGCCGGTCCCATTATGGTTGTCATGCCCTGATGGCGGCCCTGTATCACCCCCAGGCCCCCCAGGACAGCCGATCCCATTATGGTTGTCATGCCCTGAGGGCGGCCCTGTATCACCGCTTAAAACAGAGAACTACAGGGTCCCTGAAGGCTCTATGTGTGTGTGAATATCATTAGATATTATTCAATCTATATTCCATACATATAAAACCTTAGATTACCCAACAGGATCAACAGCAAAAACATATGTGAGGAAGGCTGAACTTGATGGATGCAAGTCTCTTTTCAGCTATATAATTATGTAAGAACTATGTAAGGGCTAGGGAAGGGGCAAAAGAGACATACACCTCTGCCTGAAGAGGTGGTTTTATCAGAGTCCATACAGATGTTTAAACTGCAATTGGATAAATACTTGCAAAAACATAATATATAGGGATATAATTTCTAATTAGTGGGGTAATAGCTGCTTGATCCAAGGAGACATCTGACTGCTATTTTGGGGTCAAGAAGGAATATTTTACCTAGTTTGTTGCAAAATTGAAAGCGCTTCAGACTGGGTTTTTTTGCCTTCTTTTGGATGAACAGCAAAAACATATGTGAGGATGGCTGAACTTTATGGACGCACGTCTCTTTTCAGCTATGTAACTATGTAAGGGCCAGGGAAGGGGCAAAAGAGACAGAGAGAGGATGTGGGAGACACCCAGAGGGGCTGTGGGGCACAAAGAGACACAGAGAGGCTGTGGGGAAGAGACATACAGAGGGACTGGGAAGGGAAGAAAGAGACACACAAAAGCTGCTGTGGAGAGAAAGAGACACACAGAAGGGATGCCAGGACGAACAGAAACAGAGGGGCAAGGGGTAAAAAAGACAGACAAGAGCTGGGGAGGAGACATCCAAAGAGGCTGAAAGGAACAAAGAGACTGTCAGACGATACTGTGGCACAACAAGCAGAATTAAGTTAAAAACGGAGAAAAGACAAACGAAGACAAACATATTACTGGGTCTTAGAATGGCCAGAATTAATGTACAAAGAATAGTCAGTAATAAGTCAAGGTCAGGGACACAGACAGAAGCATAAATGGATACACAAAAGCCAAAGGTCAAGGATACCAGAAATACTGATAGCAGAAGCAAGCCTAGATCAAAAAGACAATATCAAGAATGCACTATAAGATTACCTACAAGCGGAAACCACAACAGGCCCCTGAGGATAGACATTTTTGGGTTTGATTATCACTAAAATGTGTTTGAGTGGTAGAGAGGGACCCCCAAAACATATGTGTGCATCGATGAGGTAAGTTTCTCCTTCCCTTTTCTATGTCACCACACCAATCCGGCTGAAAGAGACACAGAGGGACTCGTGGGAGAAAGAGACAAGGTGCTGGGGGGAAGAGTAACAGAGGGGCTGGGGGAGAAAGAGACATAGAGGCGTTGGGGAAGGGGAGGAAGAGATACACAAAGGGGACTGGAGGGAGAAAGAAACATAGAGGGGGTGGGGAGAGGAGAGAGATACACAAAATTAGCTGGAGTTGAGGCATACAGAAGGAAGGGGAGAAAGACATACAAAGGGTCTTGGGTGAGGGGAAAGACACACAAAGAAGCTAGGAAGGGACTGGGTTTGGGGAAGAGACACATAATGGGGCAGGGATAAAAAAGACACACTAAGGGGCTGGGATAGAAAGAGACACACAAAGGGGCTGGAGGGAAGTAAGAGACACACAATAGGGGGATAAGAGAAAATATTGGGTGATAAGATATACTAAAGGCGAGTATAAAACTAAATGGGGTAAGACATGCATTAGATAGGATAAAAAAATACAAAACAGGGTAAGAAATTCAAGATTAAGGGACACACAGGTGAAGATGCATTGTGGGCGAGAAGGGGAGGGGTCAAATGCATATTCAACTGTGCAGCCAACAATCCTTATACCTACCCTGGTCCAATAGGCATGCAATCAAAACTACTTTCCACTGAGCCCCGGGGCTTGGAAACAAGAGAAAAAAAATATGTGTCTGTGATGCAGACAAAGGCATATTCTAAATGCTTAATTTTTAAATAGTAATATCTGATGTATGTTATATTTTGTTACCTTGACTTAAGTAATACTTCAAAATGATTAAAAGGACACTATAGTCACCAGAACAACTACAGCTGAATGTGGTTGTTCTGGTGTGTTTAGTATGTCCCTGTTGGCATTTTAATGAAAGCACTGCCTTTTCACAGAAAAGGCACTGGCTACACAACTTCCAAGTAATACCTCTAGTAGCAGTCACTCAGACAGTCACTAGAGGTGTTTCCTGTATCACTAATGTTGCATGGAGATGCTGATCGCTCCCCATAGAGATGCATTTATTAAATGCATCTTTATAAGGTGATGCTGATTGGCCTAACACTGTCCAGATGCCAAAAAAGGCTTCTGCTCGATTACAATCCATTCATAGAAATTTTAAAGCTATTAGCTATTTACTAGATAGTATCACGGTTTCACAGGCATTAAAAAAAAACAATTTTTTAGTATAAATTCTTCACTTAGTAGAACCAGGTTTAAGGAATCATTATGCAAATACAGCCAGTGTAATAAAGCCTTTCAGTGCTGCAACAGAGAGCAAAATAATATGCTGCAATCTTCTGTAGCACTAAATGTATCATTAAACAATTAAAATAATACAAGCTGTGGTCCGTGAGATGCCAGCTAATAATACTAGAGAGACAACTGTCTGTCTCATCTTAAGAAGTCACTTATGTGCTAAGCTTGTACTAAAAATTAGTTCAAGCCGGTTTATCCAAATTGAAATACATTTTAAGTTACACCAGATCAAATCGATCCATCTAGGATTTATTTACCATTGGAGTATTATTCAATGACTAAACAGGTAAATCCTGGGTAAATTGTTTTATCCGGTGGGTAAAAAGGAATTTGATTTAGACAAAACAAATTTTTACACAAGTCTATGTGCTATGCAAGTCATGAATAGTAGTTTGGCCAATCATATTCTCCCATTCTTTTCTTAGGAGCCTGAACTGTGGGACATGTTAAACTTAGCACCACAAAGGTTAAAGTGTAGGAAGGGTTGACTAGCACAGTTCTGCTTAGAGCAGGGGATTCCGGAACTTGAAAATTCTGTCATTTGCTTTCTATTCATGAATGCTGTTAGATTAATTAGATCTCCCAAAAAAGTTTGCTGTGAAAGTTTTGATAATGAAGTGTACAACTATATCATTGGACACTACAGGATCAGTGTTAGTGGATAATTAGGATCAGTGTTGGGACCAAATTATTTTTCTTTTTTTGGGAGGTGGGGGTGACTGCCTTCCATAACAGATGTGTCCCTTAAGAACTTATAAACTATATTTTATAAAGACAAAATGATAACTTACATAGTTACATAGTTACATGGTTACATAGCTGAAAAGAGACTTGCGTCCATCAAGTTCAGCCTTTCTCACATTTGTTTTTTGCTGTTGATCCCATATAAGGCCAAAAAAAACAGTTTGAAGCTCTTCCAATTTTACAACAAGCTAGGAAAAAAATTCCTTCTGGGCCCCAGAATGGCAGTCAGATTAACCCCTGGATCAAGAAGCTCTTACCCTACAGTGAAAGATTATATCCTTAAATATTCTGTTTTTGCCAGTATGCATCTAGTTGCTGTTTGAACATCTATATGGACTGTGATAAACACTTCTTCAGGCAGAGAATTCCACATCCTTATTGTTACATTAAAAAAAACATTTCCTTTGCCTTAGACGAAATCTTCTTTCTTTCAGTCTAAACGCATGACTGTCATACCTGGTGTCCCGCGTCGTCCCGGTCCCTCCGTCCGTCCTCTCGTCTCGGGCGGTGTGGATTGCTGGTGGGAGAGCGCCCGACGACATGCGCGCGCGCACAAGGTAGCCGGCAGGGATGTCGTGGACTCCAAATTGAAAGAGATAGTGGCCTATTGCCACTATCTATTTATACCTCCTTCAATTCTGTCCCTGCCTCTCAGCATTCACCTTGCCCTATATTAACCTCCTTCTGACATCACTTCCTTGCCCTGTCATGGTTTATTCTAGCCCAAGAGTGCGT